TTTTTGGTCACATAAGCACGACTAATTAAATTAATTGGTTCATGGATAACATAGAATTCTTGAGGACATTGAAGAAACGGTCGTTCAAAAACCGTAGAGAGAGATCTTGGATGTGACCAAAGAAAAATGGGTCTTTGATCCGCCATAAATGAGCAAATTCAATCTTATCCTCCTTTATTAAGTTGTGTAATAAATTAACACTAAGAGACTCTTAGTAATGATTCAAAATATAAAGATGATGCAAAATATATAAGTTGGCAAAATTCTATGAATCGGACAATTACAAAAAGGCACTTAATATCTATAAAGATTTATATAGTCGAATTAAGTTTTACTAATTATATCTTCAATTCAAAGAGTAATTTTTCTCAGATATTTTTATTAATTAATATTTAATTAATGCTATTCAAAATTTTTACTAAGCCTTGAAATTATTTATTTTAAAGAATTTTTATAATAATACAAAGGTTGTACCAAATGCTTAGATATTACTACAATAATTTAATATTTGAAAATAATTCATTGTATAAAGAATACAAAAAGACACCTAAAGAAAATTATAAACTTGACTATTTTTAGTTTTACTAATTAGATTAAAAATTTATTTTTTAATTTGTAATTTGTTAATTTCAAGTAAAGCTTCTTTTTTAGTGTCTACATCCTTAGCTTCAGAACATAATAAATTGTAAACCTTTAATGCTTCACTATTTTTCTTATAGTTTTCAAGAAATTTGGCGACAGATAAAGTATATTTCTCATCTTTATCAGTGCCATTCCCATTTAACTTGCAAAGTGCAATATAATACATGGAAATATCATAGATTTGAGTTGCCTCCTTTCCAGTATCTTTTTTTGATTCTTTACAAGTAAGATGTCTAAATAGGCCGTAAGCTGATTCGTATTTTTTTTCATTGTAATATTTAATTGCGTTTTTTAAGTATAAGAAATTTATGCTTTCACCTGTTGGTTTACCAATATTTTTGTTGCTTTTTTTTTCATCATCCAAATATTTAATCAAATTTTTAAATCCTGATTTTGATTCTACTTGTAAATTATAAAACTTTTCAATAAAAGCAGACCATTCATTAGCAGTAATAACTTTATTTTTGTGACTAGTAGCATCAAATGCTTTAGAAATATTGGCTGGATTTAATTTCACTTAAAGATGCACCTTCACTTTTTGTTACATCATTTAATTTAACAGATAGGATTTTTGACAAACTGTTTTTATCAGACATAATGATTTTGTTTTTTTGTCATTCTAGATTAAAAAATGTCAGATTATATATTATTCTGTAATGTATTTATAAAGTGAAATCATGTCAATAATAACTGCGTTAAAAAGTTTTTTAGTATTGTCTATTATAATAATTTGCGTTAAGCCAATATATATAGTTCACATTTCAAAGAAGATTTGTTATTATCGCATAAATTAAAAATTTTATTGAAATAATGCTGCTTAAATAAATCATTAATTAAAATTTAACAATTACAAAATTAATTGAACTGATTTTTTGTTCAATTATGTTCTTTTTTTTTATTAATTTTCTTTTAATTTTATGAGAATCAAGAGTTTTATTACTTTATTTGTAATGGTACAAATTGACTGCAAATGTCGTAATTTTTATAAATTATCAACACAATCTTTATTAAATAGACAAAAAAATAGCAAAATTTAATTGTTAATTAGGGTGTCCAGAATTCTGCGGTGCATAATTCTGCTCACTCTAAAAATATTTTTTTGTATTGTCTCCATAAAATAAGCGTGACTTTAATCATTTTTTAAAAACTAAATACAATACAAAAAGACATTTTTAGAGCAGCAGAATTATGCACCACAGAATTCTGAACACTCTACTTATTATTTTAAAGAATATTGTTCCCTTTTTTTCAGAACAATAGTTGATTAAATTAATCACTTAGCAAAATTATAAATACTAAAAAATTAAAAAACGTTAATCATAAATTAATTGATATCTAACAAAAATGCTGACAGATGAACCAGAGGTTATATTTAGCAGTAATGGATATGTTGAATACCAAAAAGGGAACATGCCTTTAATTGTTTGTATACCACATGGAGGACGTCAGCGTCCACCAGAAGTACTAAATCGTGAAAATTCCTCAAAAACAATTACAAAAAATGATCTTTATATTCAAGAAATTGGAAAAGATCTAAAAAAGGAAATTATAAAACTTAAAAGTCAACCTTATTTAATAGTAAATCACTTGCATAGAAGCAAACTTGATGTTAACTGCAAATTAGAAGAAGGATCTTCTGCTCCTGAAACTAAAAAAGCTTGGGAAGAGTATCATAATTTTATATCCTGAGCGATTGAAGATATAAAAGAAAAACACGGGCGTGGCCTATTGATCGACCTTCATGGTGAGAAAAATGTCGTTTAAGTTTTTATTGTGTTGCTTATTTTTTTATACATAGGACATGAGCAATCTGAAAATATCGAGTTGGGATATACGCTATCGAAAGAGGAGTTAATGCTATCAGATGAACAAATTAATCAATCCCCATCTGTTCAAACTGAGTCTAGCATTAAAAATCTTTATCTTTATCATAAAGAATTGCTTTCTTTTGCAGAATTGCTACGTGGAAAATTTAATTCTCTTGGCGGCAAGTTGCAATCATATAGTTATGAAACAACTCCTTCTCATATTAACCAATGTCCCAAAGAAGATGAAAAGTATTTTTCTGGTGGATATACTATAAAAAAATATAAATCATTCATCGATGCCATCCAAATTGAGTTAGTAACATTGTATATCTAGAAATAATTTTAATTTACGCCAACTATCTTGTTTTTTTATAGATTACCAAGAAAATATCGTCCAGATAAACCAAATAAAGAAAGTCGAGAATTTTTAGAAAATCTAGCAGATAGCATTATATGGTTTTTTAACAAATATTTTGCCGAAGAAAACAAAAGTTTTTTTGATAAGAAAATGGAGGTAATGATTTGAGTTTACAAAAATGGTCAAATCAATATTTATTTTACATCGTTTTTCATCCTTGTTTTCTTATCATTATTTCACTTAAAAAAGTCAAAAAAATTATTTGATTTTTTTTTTTTGAATATTATTTTTTATAAAATTTCAGCCAGTTCAAACAGAAAGAGAGCGTCTAGATCTTTTATTAGTGAATATGTTGGTGATGACATAATATATAGAGATGTGAAATGTAAATTATCAGTTAAATATTGTAAGATGGTCAACATAGAGTTTAAGAAAGAAATGCTAGAATGGAAAGAAGAAAGGTCGAATATATGGGATTTAAAATTG